CATTATTTATCACAGTTTCATCTTTTTCAATTTTAATCAATTCTTCTCTACAAGTCTGTTCTATTTCAATCATAGGTTTCGCTTTGTCCTTAACTAATTTAAGTTTCGAAATTTTTCCGTCTAAAGATAAATCCTTTTCATTCTTCTCAAAATCATTTAAAGCTCTTGTAAACAATCTCCTAAATTGAGATCGTTTGCACTTCAAAACATCCATTATAAATAAACGAAAAAATTCTACTTACAGATAACAGTTCTTCCAGCGGATGCCAAATGATCAAAATTTCTCACCAAATTTGTTACCTCAAGAAACTATTTATTATTTGGATATAACTATCTATATCTCTTTAGTTATTTATGACGCTACAATAATTAAATAATTCCTTTACTCATACTCCCAAATGATAAAAACAAAAGTTACACTGACTCTCTAAAAAGAAGATTATAAGTATATTGCAATTCTCTGAAACATAAACTATTACAAAACATAGATAATAATAATATGAACAGATAATGAATAATAAAAAAAACCTATAGAGTAAAGAAAACGATTACATCTGCTTGAAGCTCGTGCAATTTTACTCAGAAGCTGCAGTTAGAAAAAAATATAAACAAAAATATTAGAGTCTAAATAATTTTCAGACTGGTTATCAGACATCCTTTGCGCACCAATGAAACACACTTGTAATTTCACAGAAGTGTTAATGCATAGAACTGGCACATTTGGGCTCAAAGAGAGCTTGCAAACAATTTAGGAAACCATTCTCTTTCAGCCAGAGATAACATCATGGTACAATTCCCTGAGCTCATTCCCTTTTAATTTTAGAAATCAACAGTGGTACATAGAAATGTACCACTGTACCACATACACCTTGTGATTTTTAGCCATGTGGCTACTTGGAACTCACAGGGGTACAGAGCTTGGCTGACATAATTTGGCAGGAATTCTCTCTTTGATGGTGTGCAAAGTGTTTCACCACGTCTGACAATCATTCTCATGAATGATAGCCATCATGGTGAACATTTGTAATGTCACCTGTGTTACAAAGTCTGCTGCACTACTCAACAAATTTCTGCAGCAACTTGAGAACTCTCATTCAATCGGTAAAAAAATTAATTATTCTGGCAAGAAAATATTTCATTATTATATATATTTAAAAAATATAAAAAGTCTTTCTGTGAAAACTGTATCATGCCACTATGTTACCTTCATGTATTTTTCTTTAAAACTACAATTAACATCTTTAAACAAAAAAATAAGCAAATATCACTACTGACTTTTTCCTTTTCATTAAAATTATATGAACAATACAATAAAATTTTTAAAAATTATTAAAAGATTACATTGTGTTAATTTATGCTTCATTATAATGCGGATCATGATATTCACAAAACTGTAAAATCGCTAAGAAAATTAAAAATGTACAAAAGACACTAGGAAAGTTTTGCTCTACAATCAAACAGATCACCACAAGCAGTGAGAAGTTAGTGTGTGTTTTACTCTCGTTTTCCAAACTACACTGCAGCCACTCTAGTCATTGTCTCAGCATCATTTGGTCTTTAGCTGAGCGAAAAGAGGTAATGATATTGCGGTCAAAAACTGAATACCATGGCAATTTTGCACACAATTAAGTGCTGACCAGTGTTTACAGGAAATGATTCCTGTGCTTGAAAAGGATTGTCCTCGTTATACAACAATGATTTGGGTTCATAAGGGTTTGGAATGATAAGTGTACCAGATTTCAAACATAACCTGGCAGATTTCTTTGAAAACTGGTTTTAAAGTATAAAGCAGTGCATGTGTGATGGAAATTATTTTGAAAAATTATAATTACTTTGAATTAAAATTATAAATAGTCATATCATGATAATGGTTGCGTTGCTTTTATCATTTATACTTCTATCTTGGGATCTGTTCAGATCAAGTCCATGAAGAAAGCATCTACTATTTGCCCCACTGTTGAGCACCTTATAGGTGACAGTACAACTTTCAGCCAGCTATGTCCAAATTTTGTTGGACAACACAGGAAATGAATCCAAGGGTTTCGTACCCATCTCTACCAGCCAATGAGCTCTGAAAGAGATGTTAGGCTTGACCATATGCTAAAAAGACAGTATTACCTTCACTAGAATTTTAACCCAGGCATAAAAATACAGCAGCTGAGACTAGTAACCACACACAGATCAAGACACTTCTTCCAATCTTGCAAAATAATTGAATAGAATTATGTGAAAACACTTTGTGATAGACTCTGAAACCTACACAAAATTTTTTATTATTAATGAAATCTTTGCAGTCAGCAAAATTTTCTGATGATTCTATTGATATGTCTTTTTACATTTCATTTTGTGGAAGCAAATGTCATCATTTCATGTCCTAATAATATTCAGATTCAGTCTCATTATCTGTATCAAATATATCGAGCTTATCGCAAAACTTATGAATTTGCCAGCATTTTCTGACTAAATTCGATGTATATCCCATTTTTATCTTGAATTATTTTCTTCTAAAACTATCACATCTCAAATTATGACCTGAAAAGTCAGTTTCAAAATCAAAACTCATTGAAGTGCAAATTGCAACTTAGAAACACACATTGTCACATAAATGACATGCGAAAGAATTCAAATTAAAATATACACTGCCCTCCAAAAGTTGAGGAACAGCAAGTTTTTTGTGTCGAATTTGAGAATGAAGCAACACAGAAACAAGAAATTTACAGGACATGTTCATTGAACAGTTCTTTAATGAATGTGACATAGAATGTTTCTAAAGTTAAACACAAACATGAATTACAACAAAAAAGTGCACTCTAGGCAGAAAAATCGTCTTGGAGAAACAGCATATCACAGTTTTTTGAGGAAAAATGGGGTGGTAACATTACAAAAATGGGTTTAAATAAGGAATGTATTCACCCCTAGCTGCAATACACAAGCAGCAGCAATGTTCCCTGCTGTTAATTAAGTTGTCGGTCAGCGAAATGGGAAGCAACAACCAAACATGGAGTAATCCTTGTTCAAGCTCATCTAACAACCTTGGAGGAGGACTTAAAGCAGCAATCTGGCTTCCAAAGTAGTCCCAAAGATGATCTATCGGATTCAGGTGTGAGGATTGAGCTGGCCATTCCATCCGCTTCATACTGTGACCATCAAAGAAAATCTTCAGCAACCCGAGCTTGATGCGGTCACGCATTGTCTTCCATCAGAAAAAATCCAGAACCAAGAGCAGCAGTAGCATATAGGCGAACATATTGATCAAGGATCTAGTCTTGATATCTTACACCAGTCAAAGGTCTTCCATGGAACACATGCAGGTCAGTGTGACCATTGAGAGAAAGAGATCCCAGCCCAAACCATTACTCCACCACCTCTGTAACTGAATCTTTCCACATTGTAGGTTTGGTTGTATCTGGTGCGTTGTTCCCTCCATATAAGCCCTGATGACATAAATCAAGGGGACAGAAACAACTGCCACTAAATGATCAGCTATGAGCTGAGGCACAATAATGGGCCATATTTCGGGCTGAAAGAGCTAAATAATGGTCTCCTGCAGATGTTGTAACTCTAGGTCTCCCTGGAACATGTTTCTAGACACAGAATCCTTGGATTCAAACTGATTCTATAGTTGGTGAACCACACTACGAGAGACATTGACACGCCTAGCAGCATCAGCCTGTGACAACCCCATTTCCATCCATCCAACCTCAACAAATCGAGCAAACGATTTCTCCTGGACATTGATAGACTCTCCTGGATACTGTCCATGAAATTGCAATAACAACCCCGTGAACAAAAATTACAATATTTGCATTTTTTCACCAACTCTTTTATAAGTATTCATTTCTATAAAATAAAAGGGGTAGCTATTAATTTTGCATATATGTTCTTACTTCATTACTGTCATTCATATGAACTGTGAATTAAAACATTATTGGCATTTTTGTAATTGTGAGGTTTGAAAAAGAATGCTGTTCCTTAACTTTTGGAGGGCAGCGTATCACCAAAGTAATTAACATAGTAACTTGTGCCAGGTTAGCTAACACAACAGTAGGTACAAATAGTAGATATCTCAGGAATCCTCTTCCCAGAAAACCATGAGTCCTACTATGCCCAACAGCGTCCAAATCGTTAAGACAGCTGATCACTAAAGAGCCATTGAGACTGGGGCTTATTTGAGCTATAATGAAGATAACTGTTGTTGTCACTCATGCTCACTTGTCTAACAGTAACATCAGCCCAAGCCCATGAAATTCCTCGTGGCAAGAAGCGCAAGATACGCATGTCGTTGGCAACAGCCTTGAGCATCTTGCAGGTGATAGAGCAATTTAGCTCAGTTCTGAACCCAATTTTGATAGAAAGCACCCTGGAGGGACAGATCCAAGGGGTCTCCTACCCCTCTCCCCTTCCGCCAAACAAACCACAAGAGAGGACTTACGGCTCGGTGCATATTTAGAGTGCTGCACCAACACTATACACTTACAAACATCCATGCCTTCTCCGGGCCCTTCAGCACAGCAGTCAAAGTGTTAACCATTATGCTGGTTGGTCAGTACGAAGACAACTGACTTAGCCGCCCCATCTCCAAAAACCAGTTTTTCTCCATAATGCAGCGAGTTAAAAAATTCAACTGTGTGCATAGTGGAGCTAGGTGACACATGGAACTGACTCCGTTAGCTCAGATAAACCCCACTCTGAACAGCCGTTAATAGTTCAGTCTGTATTCTCATCCCAATGAATGCATTGACTGCGTGCCTTTTTCATAGATTTCCTCATATGTAAAATAAAAAGAAACAAGTTTCCCTTAGAAAGTTCTCAATGAAGGCATCTTTTCTTTAGGCAGACAGCCTTTTCTCAATTCATTAACATACGGTTTATTTAGAGAAATACGTTCTATGATAAATTTTTAATTGAAGATTGTTAAAATCTGAATATTTTTACTTTAAAAACAAAAAATTCAGCATTTTTCATTTTAGCAGTCTCGGCAAGTTTATGAAAATACTTACCAGCTGCCACATAGCATAATACGTTCAATTATATTTCAGAAGCATGCCACCCAGCTGGTATAGTGGTTACTGATCCTGACTGCTGTAGCGATGGGCCTGAGTTCAAATTTCCTGAACAAGGCATGATTGTAACTATCTATCTGTCCCTTCATAGGAGGCAAAGATAATAATGAAATGGTCACCACTTCCAGCCCCTGTAGTGGTGCGAGGCTAATGGCTATTAAACTAAGTGCCTGGTCATTTAAAAAAAAAAACATTTTAGAAGCAGAAATTTTACAGTTGTGCTTGTGCACTAGTGAAATAAACAAATAACCCACTAGTCCACTGAAAAGAACTGGAAGCTTCATGCAGTGTTGACTGAAGGCAGATAAATGACAAAGAGCCAGTCACTCATTTTTTGCTTCGTGAAATGTTTCACTTATAAAATTCAAGGAAAGTAAAAGCACAATTCATTTTAATTCCAATTTATGTACTAGTTTATGATTATGATAGACAAAGATGCAAATGGTAAGTGTGAAAGAGAAAACTCTTAATTCTAAAGAAAAAAATCAAAATCTTATATCTTTTACCTTAAATTTTAAAACCTCGGAAGGAAATGAATGGAGTTAGGATCGAATGGGTAATTGTCTTAGACACTCATTTAAACACAAAAGATTCATTGATAGTTTTGAAAACACAGCCAAGTGAAAAAAAGGCCCGAAACATTTTTTTACAGACACAGATTAGAGTGAATGAGAAAGGTTATCGTAATATCATGAAAAAGGATTTCCTGTCAACAAAATAATGTTGAAGGAAAACTAGCCACTTATGAAAAAAACTTTACCAAAGTAGCAAATGTAAAGCTAGCAAATGGAAGTTTGAGAATTTCAAAAGCAAGCGTACCATCATTTGCAGGAAACTTTGTGATAAAGTTGCACCTATACTTCAAAATGCTTGCAAAGAGTGGGTCAAGGAGCTTAGTGATATGCCATCAATAGAAGGACTACACTTGTCCCTTAGTCATTGCATGGTTTGGAACATTTTCTAAGTGATTAACTATGTCAACCAAAGAAATACATTATTTATAGGAAAATATTTATTTTTATATCTTTATTCTATATTTAATTTCTCACAAAAATGTCTCAATGATAAAAAGGGGTTACAAATGAAAATTTTTTAAGAAGTGCTAAAAGGACTCAATGCTGGAAATTACATATCTTTATTCAGCTTGGCACCAATAGAGCTTTTTCAGGTGTGCTTATTGGAATAAGCACAGGTTGTTGAATACAAAGCTCAATATTTTAGACAGAAAACAAGTTAGAGCTATTTAATACAGGTCTTAGCCAAAAATATCTGTAATTTCCTTAGGATGACTAAAAAGGTGAGGCATATGTTAGCTGTTGTTGCATGTACAATGTGGCAATCTTTCCCAGCATTTCTTAGCCTTGGACAACCTACACATGTATGAGGCCGCTCTGAATATTTCTCACGTCACCAACATAAGCACCATGAAACTGTACAGATGGAGTATTCTATTTCAGAGAATATATAATACTGTACAAAGTCTGTAATCTGGAGGTCCATTACCCGGAATAATCTTTAATCCGGACCTCAAAGCCACAAACTTTTTTTTTCTGTATGCTTTAAGCATGCACGTAATGCATTTACGCATGCGCGTTTAGCACAAAAAACAAAGCAACTTAAACAACTTGCATCGAAAGAAATGTTTAATAAAGTAAACAAATAAATATTAAGCTTTTTTTTAGTAAATTTTTGATAACCTTTAGATAATAATTGCTCTTTATTTCATAAATTATGGTTTCATATTAATTGTATTATTTCTGCATGCCATCTTACTAGATTTAGACTGATGATCTATAATCCGGAAAAACCCTTAATCTGGAATCGCCGAAGTCCCGATGAGTTCGGATTACGGACTTTGTACTGTATAATCAACTTGCTCTGGAACTTGCTCAGAAAATGAACCATTTTCATTTTCTGTCAAATGATAAAATGTTCTGCACTGACGTTTTTGGTGCACTGAAGTGATGAAGATAAATGGCGAGGATAAAGAAATCTGCAACAAGTACTGGAAAGAACCTTTGAGAGGAGAGTCCAGAAATTGAGGGATCAGTGCCATATCAGGATATTTACAACCGTGGCTGGATGCATTTCTGGCACTCTTTAATATTATCAGTAAAAAATAACCAGTTTAAATTAATTTCTTGATACATTTAAGGTCCTCAGTTGGTTCATTGACACATTGGTTTGTGTTTCTTGAAGAAAAAATTGTAAATCATCATTCAGAAGTGTTATACATTGACTACCAATAAGTATTTGGACACTACGCAAATGACGATATCTGTGGTACTAAGGTACATCACGGACTCCGCCGGTATATATCGTGTAGGAAACAGCATCGGCTTTAGTCGCATGCAAGATGCCTCGCAGTTCGGAGCTCTCTGATTGCGAGAAAGGTATAATTATCGGGTATCACAAATGTGGCCGATCCTTAAGGGACGTATCTAGCGAGCTGAAGTACCCAAAATCGACAGGGGCCTATGTGATTAAGAAGTGGAAGGTGAGCGGTGATTGTCGGAATGTGCCCCTAGTCGGCAGACTAATGAAACTAGGAGAAATTCGGAAAATTCGGAAATTCGGAAGAACCGCACCCAACCGATGGCCCTCATTCGCGAGGAGTTTCAGCAGGCATCCGGGAGTAGTGTTTCAATGAATATCATCCGTAAGGAAGCACATCTGCTTGGTTTTCATGGTCGTGCTGCTGCCCATAAGCCTTTGATCACAAAGTCCAACCGCGCCGCTCGGTTAGTGTGGTGCAAAGCACATCAAAATCGGACCGTAGATCAGAGGAAACGGGTTCTTTAGAGTGACGAATCAAGGTTCAGCATTTAGCGTTCGGATGGCAGGGTCTCTGTTTGGCGTCTACCTGGAGAAAGTCTCCTGCCAGAATGCATTGTGCCAACTTGTCGAAAGTAGGCCCTGGAGGGTCCACGTTGTAATTACCTCTCGTGGAGGCTCTACCAACTATTGATTTTGAATAAAGTTAGTTTTTCTTTTCTATCACAGGTGTCCAAATACTTATTGGTAGTCAGTGTATCTATGCAAATAATAAATTTGATGATCAAACTCAAAAAATATATACATTAAAATTTTTAATTTCTCCCAATGCTTTTATGAATTAAAATTTCTTAAAGGAACAGAAAATCGTATTCTCTTCCTTTAAGAAATTTTATAGTATATATTTATTAGTATAGGGGGTACAGTATACCTCTGTATGGATTTTTTTTTTTTTTTACTAGCACTATAGACACAGAGAAACAACAAAAAATGCAACATGAAATGTTAAAAGAACATTGAAATGTTGTGTGTTCCAAATAGAAATATTTTTCACGTTCGGTGCAGCATGTTTTTGTTTTTCTGAGCTTTTTTGTTGTGCGAACACACTGCATTTTTTTTTTTTTTCCATTTCCGATCATTTTTTTCCCCAATAAAACAATTTATGCCATTTTCAGTCTTGTTTTCAGAATACATATCGGTTTATGAATCAGTATCATGTGAACTAAAAATTCATGATTACTTACTTCCATCCTCATTTTATTCAACAGATTTTTAGCCAGTTGATGCATCTAATACCTTTTCAACATTTCTTCCTTGTAAGATAATTTATGTGATATGTTCGCCGCTTTCTATACTATCAAAAATTAACTATGAAATAACAATATGAACAGCCGCGCTGGGACTAAAAGACCCGATCCGATCATAAACAAGCCTCCAAATCAAAGCCCTGGAGAAAAAACTTCGGAAACATTAAGACAGTGACCTCAAACACGGGTACACTGGACCTCAACAACTTGTGTAAAATAGGTGTGCTTTGAGAAAGGTTTGTCTAATTGGGTGGGTCCATTGGACCAAGTGTGCAAGCTTAGTTTAATCTGGCACTACTAAGACTTTCTACATTTGCCAACACTGGATTCGCCCACAATGATGCTCAAAACCTTTGCATTTTAAATCATTTGCAAATTGGTGTCTGGACGTCCTATGTCTTACTTTTGACAGTGTGTGTAGCTACACATTCAGGGAATGAAAATTTCCATTTTAGCCTTATAACATCCTGCACCCTCAAAAAAATTATCACATGGTTTGCAACATCTTCTAAGTGACTGACTTGATGAAGATAACACCACTCAGCAGATTATCAGAACCTGTAGGAGCAAGAATTTGCTTTTGAAGCTCATTGCCATAACAATTTCCCATTACCAAGTTGTGAATATTTAAGATTTCAAAATGCTGACAGCCACATACTTCACCAGCAATCATTTGACTGCAAATCCACAAAAGTCTATCAGAAACACCATTCTTCGTACGAATTCTCATATCAGCTCCGCATTTCGGACACGCCAAACTCCGTTTTAAAAGTTCCGACTCCCACAGAAATTTAAAAAATGCACTTCTATCCGCATAAACACACCCGTGAACAAAAGACTCGTTAACAACTCCAACATCGTACCTTTTAATACTAAATTTACTACACAATCTAAAATATGTGACTGAAATCTTAGCACCACATCTCTCACTGCAACATTCAAAACACGCACAACACGAACCAACGAGCAATTAAACCACTGCAGCAAAAAAGTTAAGTTTCAACGTCAAAAGGGTTTGGCACACAAACAGCATCATCCACCAAACCATCCCACAGCACGGAATCGCACCAAAAACCAGCACAGAACACATATCGCCACATTTGGTGATCTTAGGGCACATATAAGAGTAGGGCCAAAAATATTTCTATAGCAAGATATGGCACTGTTATTTAAAATGCTTTGATGTATCACTACTTTATCAGGGTCAATTGTTTACATGAAACTTTGCACCCTACTCCATATTTGCACAAATTTCACAGATCAAAGAACTGGGTTAATTTTTTTAACCCTCTTCCTCTGAAGACACTTCCTTCATAACAGCCTTTTGTTGTTGCTTCAGATGGCATTTTAATTCTTTCTTGTTGAACTCCAAGGGCTGTCATTTTGGT